ACAATACAAATTTTCAAGTGTTTATTACATAAATTCACCCTCTTATTGTATTTTTGAACATCGTATATGCACTTCTTCATGCAAATCCACATACTAGTGGCCTTTATCCTCACTCATTGAAATGCTGGCATGGGAGACTATGTATGTGGTTCGACTTACCGTTCCCGACCCGGACTTGGTTGAAAGGATCAGTGCAAATAAGAGACATGGAATTCCCCTCATATTGATGAATAGCTTCTTGGACTTGTTTTCAGGTCTGAAATGAAAACGACAGGTATACAGATTCCGAATCGCTGTTCCATGGAATTTCTAAATTTAAATTTCACCTGAATAAGTATATTAATAAAAAATGCAAATGCCCATGTGCAAAAAGGAAGTGTGTAAGCGTCTAATGATAATTACTCTTCCCTTGGTGGGAGAGATGCTAATAAATTTTGTTGGTATGGAGTGGAAAGTTCCCGTGCAGGCATCGTTGTACCTATTGTCATGGCACTCTTTTGGAATATTCTCGTGTGACTTAGAGTGGTCAGCAAAACTATTCTAATGTTTTTAGATTAAGCGTTCGTTGGGTAAAAATTTATGAGTATCTATTCTATCTAAGGCATATTTACAGGGACGGTAGCCTTTCTTCTTGGTTTCCCATAACCTTTGGTTTTGTCTTAAACGAGTGCATTCGTAAATTCGCGGAGTCATTTCAGAGCTTTCATAGGTGTGTGTCTTATTAGACCAGTTTTGCAACTTTTGTTCAGTCAGACCAATCGGCATGTGTTAATCACAACGTAAGCATTCTAGTTTCTCCGAATTTAAAATTGGAAGCATTTCTTTACTCTTGCTAGCAGTCTACTCCATCCTTCTTAGTTTAGTGCTCCCTTACGACTAGGGCTTCGGAACGGAATTTTTATCGTTCTGTGTTCCATTCCGTTCCACCTGATCTCTAAGTATTCCAGTTCCTGATCCGTTCCACAATTATTCATTTTGTTCCTTTCCGTTCCAGGAAATATTTCGGTTCCATTGCGTTCCACCAGTTTGGGAAAACCTTCAGAAATAACTTTAAAAAAAATTAGGCCTGTCAAGTCAAATATATTAATCGACCTATGAACTCATTAAATTTCAATCGTGATTAACGAAATTTGCCTAAATTAATCAAAAATCGACAACCCAAACTCTTTTTCCTCTTTTCCCCCGAAAAATTTAACTGTGTAGTTCATAGGTATGCAAAACACCCGAAAAATGTTTTATCAAGGGAATGAAGGGTAAATTTAAAAAAAACCTTCTAAAAGTCGGTCATTTTCGCAATGCTCACTCCTTCTCATTAATTAAATACTTTTCTTGAAAAATGGGAACACTCGAAGCAAATACCATCGCTTTCAGACAATTTCAAAAAGAAACTTCCTGACATATTGTCGTGCATCCCATGTCCTAGCCTCTGACCTAGACTTTTTTTTTTACTTTGAACATTTACCTTTCATTCCCTTGATGAAACATAATTTTTTGGTTGCATTGCAAAACTATGAATTACATAGTTCCATTTTTACCTTGAAATATATGCATGGGTCTTTAAAAGTGAAGTTAAATGTATTACTCCTATAGTCGGTTTCTTCATCCCTCAGGTTTACATATCTTTCAAAAGGTGCGGCTCGCTTTCTTTCCCCTCTCGCAAGGAGACAAAGTTGGACCCTCCATAAATGACTCATTCTAGGCAAGGTGGCGAGAAAGCAAAGCAAGTCCTGGCACGAGAGGTTCATGGGAGGGGAGGGGGGAAAGGGAATTGAGAAGGGAGCATGTGCGAGGGGATTGTGCGAAGGGGAAGGTCGGACGTCTGAAAGGGAGGGGGGGAATAGGAATCTGGGACAGCCGATCGGCGTGGTGTGAATTTTCCTACCGNTGCGAAGGGGAAGGTCGGACGTCTGAAAGGGAGGGGGGGAATAGGAATCTGGGACAGCCGATCGGCGTGGTGTGAATTTTCCTACCGATTTTGTTTAAAATATTTGTATTTC